GCCCCAGGGGGTGGAGGGCAGGGACCACGATTTTAAAAAAAATCCCCCTTCACTAATACATGCTTTATGCCAAAGTTTTGTAGCAAATGGTTGAGGGATTGCAGAGAGAAGTTGCAAATGTTCGAATGTTAACGCACAATGCACAGCGCACAACGCCAAAAAAAAAAAAAAAAAAAAAACCCAGATAGCAATAAGTCACATGAGTTGATTCAGGTGACCAAATAAGGAGTCCTTTGTTCTCCATATTTATGTAAAATATTAGGTGTCCTCTGGTCTCCCTATTGATTTACAACATAAGGTAACCTCTTGTCCCTATTGATTTACAATTTGAGGACACCTCTGATCTTTCATTTGATTAACAAAATAAAGTGACCTCTTGTCCCTATTTATTTGCTAAATAATATGACATCTGATCTCCAAATTGATTTACAATATAAAGGAACCTCTGGTCTCCCTTTTGATTTTACATTTTAAGGTTACTCCTGGTCTCCCTACTACTTTTATAATATTCGGTGACCTCTGGTCTCCCTGTTGATGTAAAATATAACGTGTCTTCAGGTATCTTCATTGTTGTTCAAAATAGTGTGATCATTAGTTTTAATGATGTATAATATAAGGTGACCTCTTGTCCCCTAACTGATGTAAAATATAAGGTGCCCTCTGGTCCCCCTATTGATGTAAAATATAAGGTGACCTCTGGTCCCCCTTACTGATGTACAAATTAAGGTGACCTCTGGTCCCCCCACTGATGTACAACAGACGGTAACCTCTGGTCCCCCTAACTAATGTAAAACATAACGTGTCTTCCTGTTGCCCCTACCCCCACTGATGTACAATATAAGGTGCCCTTTGGCCCCCTAATGATGTACAATATAAGGTGAACCCTGGTCCCCCTATTGATGTACAATATAAGGTGATCTCTGGTCCCCCTTACTGATGTACAATATAAGGTGCCCTCTGGTCCCCCTATTAATGTACAATATAAGGTGACCTCTGGGCCCTCTACTGATGTACAATATAAGGTGACCTCTGGTCCCCCTAATGATGTGCAATAAAAGGTTTCTTATGACTCCCCTATTAATTCAAAATGTAAGATCCCTCTAATGATGTAAAATATAAGGTGACTACTCGTCTCCCTAATTTCTTTCACGTTTCTGCTAATATATATATATAATATATATATATATATATTATATTATACAGTTATTGACTGGGTATGAAGGCAACATATGATTTGTCGGACCTGAAGGTGAAAATGTTGCCCGAGGCCGCAGGCCAAGGGCAACATTTTCATCTTCAGGTCCAACAAATCATATGTTGCCCGAATCCCAGTCTATAACTGTTTTGTTATACCCTTCACTGCTCACTTAAGATTGATCAATTTTATCAATACACGCTTTACTATCAATTATTTTATATGGAAAATTATGGCTTCTTCTGTAAATATAAAACATCAAGCTGAGAAAGAACAAAATCAATTATAAATCTATTATATCACAAAAATTATTTATCACAAAACATACTCTTCCCTTCTACCTTACCTTGCTGTTAGCAACAACTCTTTTAAAATAGCTCCTAACTTCGGCTATTTTCGCGTCGCCGATATTGAACGATGATTATTAATTGTGACGTAACAGACAAGTGACGTTGCAGTCTAACAATTCTTATGTAAGACCGGTCAATAGTGAAATTGTTAGACCGACGTAATAAACATTTCTTTTGTTGGACTTTTTATTAGTAATAAATATATAGAAGGATATTTATAAGGGTATAACAAATATATATATTGCCTCTAGTCCCAAGGTGTGTGGTATATTTGTATACAGGCTAGTCACATCAAAGCTTACCAAAATGGTTTTTTCCTCAACTTTCTTAGGGATGTGGTGAAGAAAGTCCATATCGTCACGGATGAAACTTGGTACTAGCTGACAAAGAGGTTTCAGAATATCATTCTGGGTAGATAAACATGAAAACCAGATAGACCTTAGATTTACCAAGGATTTTATATTAGAAGGATTGCAACTGGTTCTGGAAAATAACGATTTCTTTTTTAACAACAGGTACGTTTTACAAGTAAAAGGTACCGCAATGGGCACAAAGGTAGCCCCAACTTACGCTACGCTAGTATTAGGATTCCTTGAAGAAAAGATGTACACTGAAACCGAAAAAGTTTTCGGATCGAAATTCTCCAATTATATAAGACATCAATGGAAACGTTATCTAGACGATTGTTTTATTTTTTGGGACAAATCTCAAAGAGAATTAAAGGAATTTCACACTTTACTTAATGGATTACACGGAAATATCAAATTTACTATCGAAACCAGTCAAAGAGAACTTCCCTTTTTGGATATACTTATAATAAAGGAAAACACCAACATTTCCATAGATTTATTCTACAAGGAAACTGACAGTCACCAGTATCTTCTTTTTAATTCCTGCCACCCTTCACATACGAAGCGGAATATACCATTTAATTTGGCAAGAAGAATATGTACAATAGTTACGGACGAAAAACGTCGGACAAAAAGACTTGAAGAATTGAGTGTTTTTCTACGCCGCCAAAAATATCCAAAAAATCTTATAGCCGAAGCGATAAGAAAAACCGAAGCAATCCCAATTACAGAACTTCGGAAAGTGAACAGAAAGAATGAATCCGATAATATGCACACAGAAATTCCATTCGTTGTCACTTATAATCCAAAAAATCACAACATCTTCAACACAACGAAACAGTGCCTGCCCATACTTCAACAATCAAAAAATCTGAACGACCTTATTGCGGAGAAGAATTTGATTTACAGTAGAAGACAACCGCCAAATTTGAAAAAAATCCTCACCAAAGCCAAATTCACCTCTACAAAGGAAATATTTACAGTTTCCAAATGTGATGATCCACGCCGTGGAACTTGCGATTTTATACAAATCGGAGAATCATTCACATTCAAAACAGGAATAGATTTTAAAGTTCAACATAATATGAACTGCAAAACCAAGAACGTCATATATTGCATGACTTGCCGTGGTTGCGGAGAAAATTACATTGGTCAAACAGGAAATAAAATATCCGACCGTGTTAGAGTACACAAACAGCAGATAAGGGACCCTTCCGTAAGAAATACTCCGTGCAGCGAACATTTTGAACAATGCGGTAAAGGACGTTTTAGTATCTTTCCGTTTTATAAAGTTACTGAGGAAAATGAACAGTTACGGCGGGCCAAAGAACAATATTTCATTGATAAATTTAAGCCTAAACTAAACAGATAAATGTTCTGATTTAATCAGTGACTGTAAATATTGTTTTTAAAATTTCTAAAATTTATTAATTATTGATTATTATTGTGTAAATATGTATCATTTACAGTGTCAAGTCTATTTAATTTGGCGCTTTCTACGGATATTTTTGCGCCAAATTTTAACGTTGTCCTTTAATTATGACGTCATAATAACGACGTTATCATGTCATGTTGCTATTGTTATTCAAAATCCACTGAAGAGCCGAATGGCGAAAGCGCTTTGGAATAAAATGTGATCATCTTTTCCAAATTCTGGATTATTTTTCTATATGTTCATACCTATACCAAGGACATCTTGAATTTTAATATATATATATATATATATATATATATATATATATATATATATATATATATATATATATATATATATATATATATATATATATTAAAAAACATATCTATATAAAGTTATAATCAAAATATATTATATATATATATATATATATATATATATATATATATATATATATATATATATATATATATAATATTTTAGCGTAAGACAAAGAAAACTGCTCTAAATAAAATTCAATTAATACAGCTCAACGCACTTTCTAAGCTCATATGGTTTTTTGCACAATTTAAGGTCACATTCAATTTGCATTAGAATGAACATTATCCTCCTTTTAAACGAGACATATCCCTGATATGTATTTTTAAGTCAGTGCAAAGCAAAAACTGTTTTAAAAAGAACGGTTACATAGACGGCCACATTTGACGAGAAATCACGAAAAACCATTTGGGAACTATTACAATCCACCAGCCAAGTGTAAATCGAAATCCTACCAATGGACTTTTACGAGAAGCGCTGACTTTTACGGTTGACGAATTACTCTCACACTAGGACAGTGTACGGAAGCTCTTTTACGATATAATAATTTAGCTCAACAATTAATTTAAAGCAAACAAAGAGCTATTTCAAAGCACAGATAATTTGTCCTTGAAGAAAACGACAACCATCCTACCATCAAATCCAGGCCTTCACATACAAATGCCCCTAACACCATTATCACGACCACCAGAAAGGTTTGCTTTTTCATTATCAATTCTGTACCTCCGTAGATGTGAATGTCCAAGTAAACGGTCAACTGTTAAAGTAAGTGCCTCTCGTAAAAGTCCAATATTCATATGTGAATTATGTTTTAAATTTGTTATATATAAAACTTAAACGTAAGTTAAAAAACACTTTTCAAAATATTTTGATAACAACGTGACGTAACAACTGTGTGAAAAACCATGTGAGCTTAAAAAGTGTGTTGAGCTGTATATAACATATAAAAGGTGACCTGAGGTTTCGTATTGATATCGATGAATTTACTTTTGTGCCTTTAATGCCTGAAGAGCTCCTAAAATGTTTTATTACTAAGCAAAATGACGAACTATTTGCGAGGGACTCTCGATCCTAGTTGAGCGTACGTTTTATCCTTCTGCCAAGCGTTTAGCAAAACCGGTAGGAGACTAATAACAGAAGTATTTTCTTAAACCCCAACATTAAAGTTGAAATAGTTTCACTGATAAGCTTTCATATGAATCACCACCCTGTATAGCTATTTAGGCAGATTTTTAAAAAAATATAATAAAATTTAAAAGCTACAGATTTTGACCCATCATTTTGGCTACCCAGAACAGAATTCTATCTTTGTAAATGCTCCTTGTCTGAAGTTCTGAAGTACTTAGGATATTGAGAGGTTGAAACTTATCTTATCTTTGGGTCTGAATTTTACAGGTATAAAAGGCTACATTATGTAAGATTTTGTTTTTGTTGCCGCCATGATGACACGCAAAAGTATTTGCTATTTATTCGCTGCATCATTCGTATGCTTTATTGGAGGTAAGTAGCCATCCATATAAGCAGAATTGGGGCGAGGCGAAATGTTCTTTCAAATTAAATTATTACAATTAACAATTTTTGACTTATTGATCATAAACAATGTATAAGAAAACTAAAGGTAAGATTCTTTCTTGGTTTCTGACTAGATGAAATATTCAAAGTACATTTGCTTATATGTCGTATATATTTAAGTTTAAGATATTTAAAAGACCATATTTTTCTTTCCTCATCACAATTGTCAACTTTAAGTAGAAATGGCAAGCCGCGTTTAAAAACTAGCAGGGACTATATTTTTGGCGGAATGGTGGCGTATGAAAATTTCTTTCCTGCCTCTCAAAATTATCACCATTTAGTCATAATTTTTACACAATCAAAGACTTGAAGAAATTTTCAAATGTAAGTTTAATTAATTAATAAGGAACTAAAGTTCCGAAATATATCAAATAAATATGATTTTTCAAACTTATTAGAATTATGCTAGCTTTTATAAGCTTTATATCTAGATATAATATAGATTTGAGCCCAAAATCCGTAAAAAGTATTTTTTGTCTCTTAGTAAACTATCAAAACTTTTGTTTTTGTATCATTTAGTATCATTATTTGACAAATTTACCATATGTGAAATTCAAATATAGGAAGCATATAAAAATAACTAAAAGATCATTACTTATTTACTAAAATTTAAGAAAAGTAGAACATTAGGATTAGCCAATATATATTGTAGTTAAATTATTTATGTCAATTTGGTAATATCATCTTATAAGCCCTTTATGGTAGTATATTTTTAATGCAAAAAGAAAAATTCAATCTTTTGAAATACAAATAGGAATCACTTAATATATAATTATTATTAATGTCAAGGAAAAAGGTAATGACCTTGACCTGACCATGCCTTTATTATAAAACGGTCAAATTTAATTTCACTGATACCATCACTTTTGAATTTGAGAAAAATAGTAAATATTTTTTTGGCAAACAAACACAGAAAAATCATCAGCATGAAAAGTGCCAGATGTTTATTGAAACTTCTTTTTAGAAAATTAACAAAACTGCATTATAAAGAAAAAAAATTAAGAAATAACACATATAACATAACCCACAAAAATTTCATGATAATAGGTATGTCTTATCTCTTTCTAAAAATAGATCTTATTCCCAGTACTAGTATACAGTCAAAAATACGCTCAACAAATTCAATCGATTCAAATACTAGTATTCTGTAACACATTTATATCGCGTTTCGAAAAAAAAAGCATTTGAACAGCGCTATTTTTTCTTAAAACTACCTTTAGCTTGTGCTACAATACGCTTAAGTTGTTTTTAAAAATTGTCATAAGCAATTGCCAGTTGATAGAGGTTTCATGCGTAAATACTGTAAATGTATTATATTTAGCGTGTACGGAAATTAAGTTTTGAAGAAGTTAGCGTGGATTTGATTTAGCGCATTTCCAATAGTTCTTATTTACGTATATAAGTACAAAACATTTAGCGTTGTACTTGAATTAGCATAAGTGTCTTTCCGCCAAAAGCGCTGAAAAGAATACACAGTCAAATGTAATACGTTTAAAGTATACTGGGGGATTTTAGGGGTTGTGCCCCACCACCCCTGTATTTTTAGGTCACCTGAGTAAACTCAGGTAAGGCCGCCTCTTCAAAACTTGTAAATTTTATAGCCCCGGGGTCAGGGCTTCTCGTGCTAGGGCGGGGATATACAGATTATGTAGTGAAATGCATTTTTTCTTTGAAAATCTTCTCTATTCCTGGGCATGAAAAAAAATAACCAAGTTCATAAATCATAATTATGTTTAATAAGACTGCCTCTTTCAAAATTGTGAATTTCATGGCCCCATGGACAGGTGTTCTTTGTTAGGAAGAGGCTCTATATATTATATGGTGAAAATGCAATATATCTTTGAAAAATTTCTTCTCTTTTCCCGGATATTAAACAAACTTATTAAGTAAATAGTTATGATGAGTCTGTTCCAAATTATGAAATTCATGGCCCCTGGGTAAGGGGTTCTGGTGTTAGGATAGGGCTCTAATGGTAATATAGTGAAATTACTACAGTGTATAATTCTTTTAAGATCTTCTTATCTGCTCCTGAGTATTAAATAAACTAACCTAGTACATAGTTATGTTGAATAAGGCTGCCTCTTCCAAAATTGTGAATTTCATATGGTCCCAGGGTCAGGGGTTCTGGTAGTAGGGTTGGGCTTTATTGAATATATAGTGAAAATGCATAAATTCTTTAAAAAATTTCTCTGCTCCTGGGTATTAAACCAATGAACTATTTACATACTTATGTTGGGGAAGGATACCTCTTCTAAAATTGTGAATTTCAGGGCCCTTGGGTCAGGGTCTCTGGTGTTAAGGTAGGGCTCTAATGATTATATATAGTGAAAATGCATTATTTCTTTGAAAATATTTACCTTTGTTCCTGGGTATTATGCCAATGATCTAAGTACATGTACATATTTATGATGAAGAAAGGTACCTCCTCCAAAATGATCAATTTCAGGGCCCCTTGGTCAGGGACTGGGTGGTGATGTTACATATTCTGAAAATAAATTAATGTTTTTTTGAAATCTGTTCTTTGGTATTAATCAAGCATTTATGACGAAATAAAATATTTGATAAAATTTCCAAAATTTTAAAATATGTGGCCCCAGGGTCAGTGGTACCTGTGGTTTTGGTGCATAACTGGTTATAAAGTGAAATGCATTTTCTCTTTGTTACTATGATCTACCTCTGGGTATTCAGTAACCAAGGTAAGCATACTAACTGTATAGTTATGATAAGCAATGGTGCCTCTCTCAAAATTGTGAGTTTCATGGCCTCTGGTTTAAAACACGAACTAAATTCAAATATTAGAAAGTTGTTACATGATACGCAAGTGATCTATAAGGCCCCAGGGCCTCTTGTTACAAATATGAAATTCATGAAAGACAAATAATGTCTCTCAGGTCTTTGCACAAATTAAAATATATGTGAGACAAGATGAATTTAGTATGCGTCACTCAAGCAAAAGACGTCTTCTTAAAAGATGTCTCCTTGCTTAAAAGCTTTAACCACGAACCAGGAAATAAATTATAGCTTACAGGTTTGCACATATATGGAAAATGCAGATTATGTTTACTGTAATAAAGCAATAAGCAAAAAACCCATTCTTTTTTTGTATGTGAGGCTGGGTGTGTTTGTGTATGGACACTTCTGTCTTAAACTAAAATCTCAAGTCAATTACTTAATTCTGTTCCAGGCATTTTTGCTGAGACCTGTTCCAATGCATCTGTTTCTATCTGTATTGAAAAATTGAAAAATGCAATAAAGGAAAATCCTTCTGAACTTGACGCTATATGCAAGTAAGTCATAAAACGTACTGAAAGATCAAATCCTGCTCAAAATTTCAACAAAAAATTGTTCTAATCATAATTAATAAAATTCTCGACAATGATTTTTATTAAAGAAAAAACAAAACAAAAAAATATACAACTAATAGATAAATTATACATGTATATGATATTTGATAAATTTATAGTTTTAACATTCTAAATAAAGAGAAAAAGTTCTAAATTTGTACAAGCTAACATAACAAGGTGCAAATGTTTATAGCCAATTAAAAAAAACTATTAAGAAATAGAAGTTATATTTTTGTTTTAAATTGATTTTGATGAATTTATTTAATGATAGTTTACAGTACCTTTAAACTACATTAGACAAAATATTTAACATGATATCGTTGAATTCTTTGAAAAAGTATCTCTTGCATCATAGAGCTGTTCCACCTTAAACTATAAATAAGATTGATATTCAAAGAACTGTTAGAATATTGCCAACTCTATACACTATCAAATACATGTTATATGACATTCATAATATAGAAATATTCAAATTACTAAGAATCACAGATACCGTCCTTTGAAAAAAAACCCAACGTAATATACGATACTATAAATACAAAGATAAGATTTATTCAATACAAAATATTTCGAATGTTGACGTTTAATCAGATATAATTTCTTTTCCTAGGAAATCATATGAAGTTATTGCATGTGTTGACAAAGTTGCTACAGCATGCAAAAATATTCCTGTGGAATTAAACATCATCTATGTTAAAGATCAGATGAAAAAGCATGGGTGCAAAGGTACATCTTCTGTAATAGTTGCATGATTTATTTATCAACCTACCTTTATCGAGCATTTCATTGGAATATTTCTTTTTTATTCCTTTACTAGATTCCTCAGCAGGTTGCAGAACAATGACGATGGGTGTTCCTTGGCTTATTTTTTGCATTATTAGTGCATTGTATAGAGCGATATTATGATAATGTGTAAAATGAAACACTTTTCTTAAATACAAGACATTTTTTGCACTTTCTGTTAATAAAGTTGAATATAAAAAATAAGTATTTTAATTAGCATATTAATGAGTATAACAGAATCGGATTGCTTTCAAGATGGTAAATCTCAGAAACTGTGTTTTAAAGGTTCATAAGAGAGAGAGAGAGAGAGAGAGAGAGAGAGAGAGAGAGAGAGAGAGAGAGAGAGAGAGAGAATAACAAGGTCTCTTTAGGAAACTCCCAATCGTCTTGTAAAAGAGAAAATAATTACAGTATAGTATACGTATGAGAGACTATCAGTTGGCCCCCAGGGTTAAACTCAGAAATCTTAATTACACAGCTACAGACACCTCAAAGCATCTTGAAAAAAGAAAGCAAGAATGCTTATGAAAATGAAAAAAATATGAAGGGTTCTTTCAACAATTTTTTTTTGTAAAAATAAAAACATTTTCACCCCATTTTACCTTGAGGGTGAAATTTGAAAAAAAAGTGCATAACACTATTTCACATCTGCAGGACAGCCAATCATTTGATTAAAAATGAAACAGACATTTGTAAAAATGTATAAGAGTACAAGGAACTAGTTTATAATAAAATGAAAAACGTTCTTTTTCGTCACCCAATTTGCCCCCGAGGTGAAAATTCAAATTCAGAAACTTTTATGTTCATCTACAGGGAACTATCGATTATATTCTCAAATGTAAAAATGAAAAAAACTGACTAATCTCAAAAAATCTGTAAGTTATAATAATATTTATATTTGAAAAAAATTAGATGATTTCGTGGTTTAAGATATATGTAGGTATATATTTGTAATAAAACATTTTACTAGAGGATATAAATTTTTAGGAATCAAAATAGACTGTGTTTATTTTGTTTGATCTTGTGATAAACCCTCCATTCCTGGATGTGTACTTGATAATGCAAACAACTTTATATCTAAGGAAACAAAGATAATATGGGTTTTTAATTTTTTTTTGTAATTTATTACATCCAGGGCTTCAATGGCTTGATAAGAATCATACTCTGATGATCGGTATTCTCTTATTGTACAATTGTATCGACGACAGGTTTGTTTCGAAATCTTTCTCACTTCCGTCTTTCTAAAGCAAAAACTGGTAAAACACTATGAAGCATACATAGACTCAATAGACAAATCTTTTTGAAAACGTGATTTTAATTTTGGTATTTTTAACCAACGCCAGTATTTGACATTACGCATATTCCAGAAACAAGTAAATTTATCAAAATGAAACCAGATAATGCAATAATAAAATAATTATGTTTAAAATGTTTACATTTCATTTTTTTGAATTCCTTTAGATATATAGATAATTACGGAAGCCCATTTAGGACCTATCAAAAAATATTTTTGAATTCGTTATAACGATTTTTAGAATTCGTTATAACGAATTTTTAAATTTGTTATAACAGATTTATTGAATTCGTTATAACAAATTTAATTTGTTATAACAGATTCATTGAATTCGTTTTAACGAATTTAATTTGTTATTACAGATTTATTGAATTCGTTTTAACAAATTTAATTTGTTATTACAGATTTATTGAATTCGTTATAGCGAATTTAATCTGTTATTACAGATTTGTTGAATTAGTTATAACCAAATTCTTAAATTGGTTATAACGAATTCAACAAATCTGTAATAACTGATTAAATTCGTTATAACGAATTCAATAAATCTGTAATAACAAATTAAATTCGTTATATAACGAATTCAATGAATCTGTTACAACAAATTAAATTCGTTATAACGAATTTAATAAATCTGTTATAACAAATTAAATTCGTTATAACGAATTCTAAAAATCGTTATAACGAATTCAAAAATATTTTTTGATAGGTCCTAAATGGGCTTCCGTAGATAATATACTGTGTTTAATGTTAAGAATACAATTTCACATAAATGCATTATTAGTACAAACAATGCAGCACATGTTGTTAATTAGAAACAAACAGCAAATGGTTAATCAATTAAAGTTTGATTTTTCTATTCTCATGGTCTTAATGCTAAAAAGTTTTCCCTTTAAAAATATTGTGGTCATAACCCCCCCCCCCCCCATTACAATTAATGCAGTAATATGTTCATATTTTGGAATGTGCTTGGGGTGTCCTGTAGATGTGCAAGAAGGTTTCCGAATTCGATTTTTATCATGATGAAGGGAAAAAATCCCCAATTATTGCAGTGACCATCTCATCTTTTGAAATGTGATTAATGGTGTTCTTTGTATTTGGATTTCTTTTTCTTTTAATTTTCATCATGGTGGCCCAATGAGGATTTCTTTTCAGAGTGTTTTCTCTGAAAAACGCTTTCCTAATCCTTATCAGTTAAAACATTTTTCAAAGTAGCTCATTCATTTTTTACATTGTGTTTGGGTCTGTCCTGTAGATGTCTATTCTTGGGACTGAAGGAAGATGAGTGTTGTTGTGCAGTAGGTACAATGTAATATACGTTGCATTTCATCTTGGAAACATTTCCATAATTTAAGCAAGTAGCATGAATTGGTCACACTGGAGAGGTTGTTCGTTCAACATTCAAAAATCACTTTTTAGATATCTTGCATTTGTCAAATCTGACAAAAATCTTGAATTTTTTTCTGATTCAAACATTCAGCTTTCAACCTAACCCTAACTTGTGTTTCGTATTCGATTGTAGTAAATGTTAATTTATTCTGAGCACAATACAAATGGTTTCAAGACTGCAATAACACAGTGTTCGAAATTATGTTTAAACACTGCCTCAATATATAAATTAAACGTCTTTCGTTCTACAGCGACATCGCAAAGAAAGTTAACGTCATATTATACATATAGATGATTAACAACGCATTCATATAATTATTAACAAATGTTTGATATAGGTCATAGTTAAAAATTCGATCTGTGATTTCCAATTTCAACGTTGTAGAGTATTATTTTCCGATTTTTTTTATGTTTAAGATTATTGTAATGAGGAATTTAAAAAACCTTTTAAGTTGCCAATTGCACATATTACATGTATCTCCTTTCAAAAGTAAAATCAGACAAAATATAATTTTAATTCGTGTCAAATGCTTAAAAAGCATATTTTCAATAACATCTTTTATTGAATGATTGAATAGAAAACGTAAAAACAGACAAAATATAATTTCAATTCGTGTCAAATGCTTAATAAAGCATATTTTTAATCGTTTATAAAATGAATGAAGTAAAAAAAAAATTCAAATAGATACATCATTAGCTCGTTGGCAAGAAAAAAAGACTAACACATTACTTACATGTACATTCGCAGCAACCATCTTGTCATTTAATTCACCCGTAAGGATAAAACGTACGCTGAACTAGGACCTGGGGTCCCCCGCAAATAGTTCGTCATTTTGCGTAGTAATAAAACAATCTAGGAACTCTCCAGGCATTAAAGGCACAAAAGTAAATTCATCGATATCAATACGGAGACCTCAGGTCACCTTATATATTAATTGAATTTTATATGATAGACAATTTTCTTTGTCTTACTCCAAAATAATCATATTTATAACTTTATAAAGATCAACTTTCTAATATATATATTAGCAGAAACGTGAAAGTAATAAAGGGTGACCAGAGGTAACCTCATATTGTACATCAATAGGGGGACCAAAGATCACCTTACATTGTACATCAGTAGGGGGACCAGAGGCCACCTTATATTTAACATCATTAGGGAGACCAGTGGTCACCTTATATTGTACATCATCAGAGGGATCATAGGTCACCTTACATTTTAAATCAATAGGGGTTCAAAGGTAATCTGTTATTGCACATAATAGGGGGACCTGGGGATACCTTATATCCACCATTTGGGGGACCAGAGGTCACCCTATATTGTACATCAGTAGGGGGACTACAGGTAACCTAATATTGTATTGTACATCAGTAGGGAGACCAGAGGGCACCTTATGTTGTGCATCAGTGGGGGGGAGAGGACACCTTATACTATACATCTGTAGGGGGACCAGTGGACACCTTATATTGTACATCAGTAGGGGGACCAGAGGACACCTTATATTGTACATCAGTAGGGGAACGAGAGGACACCTTATATTGTACATCAGTACGGGGACCAGAGGTCATCCGATATTTTACATTAGTACGGGGACTAGTGGTCACCTAATATTGTACTGTACATCAGTAGAGAGACCAGAGGTCACCTTATATTGTACATCAGTAGTAGGACCAGAAGTCATCGTATATTGTACATCAGCAGAAGGACCAGAGGTCACTTTATATTGTACGGGGACTAGTGGTCACCTAATATTGTACTGTACATCTGTAGCGGGACCAGAGGACACCTTATATTTTACATTAGTAGTAGGACCAGAGGTCATCTTATATTGTACATCAGCAGAAGGACCTGAGGTCCTCTCTTGTATATCAGTAGGGGGACCAGAGGACACCTTATACTATACATCTGTAGGGGGGGACCAGAGGACACCTTATATTGTACATCAGTAGGGGGAAGAGGTCACCTTATATTGTACATCAGTAGGGGGACCAGAGGACACCTTATATTGTACATCAGTACGGGGACCAGAGGTCACCCTATATTTTACATTAATACGGGGACTAGTGGTCACCTAATATTGTACTGTACATCAGTAGAGGGGTCCAGAGGTCACCTTATATTCAGTACATCACCTTATATTGTACATCAGTAGGGTACATCAGTAGGGGGACCAGAGGTCACCTTATATTGTACATCAGTAGGGGGACCAGAGGTCACCTTATATTGTACATCAGTAGGGGGACCAGAGGTCACCTTATATTGTAGGTCACCTTATATTGTACATAAGTCACCTTATATTGTACATCAGTAGGGGGACCAGAGGTCACCTTATATTGTACATCAGTAGGGGGACCAGAGGTCACCTTATATTGTACATTAACCACATTATATTTAACATCAGAAGGATGACCAGAGGTTACATATGTACATCAGCAGGGGTACCTTAGGTC